GGAAACCGGGCATAAATCTCGATTATTTTTGTAAGTGTCTCACCCAAATTACTGCTTTCCTGTTACCTTTCTGAAAAGTTGTAAAGCAGAATCTGTAATAGAATTCATCAGGGAATTTAGATTCGAGCTTAGAAATCTCGACATCCATTTAATACCATTAAAAAAACAAGATGGCGTCAAAACTGTCAAATTTGACATCTGTCAAGATTGCTAAGCCCGCATATACATTCCTGGATAAATTCTATTACTGATGCTGCTTACAACGTTTCAGAAGGTTACAGGAAAGTGGTAATTTGGATGGGACACTTAAAAAATCTCGCTGTACAACAACAAATATCCTAAAAGAACAGAGCTTAATAAGTCAAACTGCAGACGTATTGCTTTCAACTTAAGGGGTACGAGTCAACCCGACGAAAACCAGAGTAAAACGTTTCAATGAAAACAAAGAGGAAAGAAGTCGAGTGGGGTCAAGTCTGGCGATCGTGCTGGCCAGGAGACGTCACCATAAGTTCCGATCGATCTTCCTGGAAACTATTGAGACCGGTACTCTCAAAATTTGTCTTGTTGAAACCAGCAATTTTGTACAATTTCTGGTGGCAGAATATATAAACTTTCTGCTAACTGATTTTCCAATAAGTTAAGGTATCGTTCTGAGGTTAAAGAGTGGAGGTCCATAAAAGATTCCGCTCTACATGTGCGCAATCCGTATTGATGACTGGATTTTTTTTCTCGTGGGTTGTTTTGTGCCCAATTATGGGTGTTAAGCCTATTGAAAGTTCGGTGTTAGTGACCATGCTTTCCTTCGACCAAATAATTTTTATTGTAAAATTTCATACCATTCACAAAATGTTCTTCTAATTACATCTCCAGTTTGCAGCCTTTGGCGAAATTTAAACTTATAAGGTTTAAAGCTGTTTTCATTTATTTAAAATGAATTGAGAGGTAGATTTGGAAACTAATTCTCTTGTTGAGATTTCAGACTGTTCAACAACTGCTTGAATAACGTGATATTATTTTTCCTCATTGGAAGGTTTGTTCTGGTTTTAGTGGGTTTTGCGAGGCAACATGAAAACACATCAAATTTTCCTTCGTCTGTAAGTTTGTTTGCCGGCATAATGAAACACTCGAGAAATTCTGGTACTGATTTACCAGTGTTTCATTACGTACCGTAAAATAAGGTTGATGATGGTCCATATAAAAACAAAATGGATGATGGTTTCAAAGAAACGAAACGTTGAATACATTTGCATAAGAACCATCTTGTAGAGCTCAAAAAGGTGGCGTGCGAAAGTATTTTTCTTTTTTGATATGATTTGAAATAACTAAAAATTAATAATGAAATAGAGAAACTCTCAAGATTCCTACTTGATCGAAGTCCCACAAAATTGCGAAATTATCCGTAACCAGGATGCGAAAGAAGCCAACAAAACAAATCAATCTTCTCAGTCAACCAGTGCGTTTTCCTGATATCAACAAAGAACCAAGGGCTTCAGTCACTCTCAACTTAAGCCATGCTGGCTTAAGGCATACAGAATGTGAGCTTGGATGAACTGGACAAATTAAAACAAGAACTTCAACAGAACAAGGTTCTTCAGCTAGGCAGCAGAATCCTCTAACTTTTGGACACTAGTAGGTCCCTTTATGTTAATTGAACTGCACTTGTATATACAAAAGTGTCGTAATTGTCCAAACAGCCCCCAGTCATCTAAACTCGAACTTGTAGAGGTCTAACTACCCTCGTAGACGATGGAGTCGAATATTCTAAGGGAGATTCTAATACATTATAATTTTACCAAAGTCAGTCAGAGTGCAGCCAGGTAACGTAGTGTCATTCTTCAAACAGTTAACTTGTGTGAAATGTGAAATGCAGCGGCAACTTACCAACAATCGGCCCCCTTATCGGCGGCCACGGGGCCACACTCCGGGCCTGAAGCCACCGTGGTTATTTTAGCTGGAAAACGGCTCAGATCTTGACCATTCGGTCTAGATTCCAGCTGGATTCAGCGTCCGCTCTCTACTCGACGCTCACCATCACTTTAGGTTCCTGGCAAGCCGCATCCTGGCTGGCGGAAGATCCCCGTCCAGATAAACTCGACCAAATCCTTGCAAGAAACAAAAAATTTAACTAAGTAAAGACCAGGTGGCTAAAGGAAAATTAGTTCTATACGATGTTCACGTGTATGACAAGATACTGATGAAGAAAAATAGAAGAACGTAATTGTAGGTAAACTTTAAAATTTGATATGCACATTGAATTGAATGCAAATTTCACGAAAATTCCACTGAATTCTGATTTTTGCCAACCGAGTAAACGTTGGGCTCGAAATCGGTGTTTACAGTCAACTGCGCCTTCTGCTTTAAAAACCCATAACTTCCCAACTAGGGCAAGTACCAACTTGAAAGAGTAATATTCGGTAGAAGACAATTCACTCTACAAACGCTAGAATTTGCATTAAAATTTAACGGAATTCTGATTTGTGCCAGTCGAGTTGGTCTCAAAATAACTGGTTTCAGCTAACTGTGACTGCTGCTTCAAAAATCCATAGCTTCCCAACTTGCGACCAGTAGCAACTTGAAAGTTACAAAATATTTAGAAGTCAGTCCCCTTTACAAATGATGAAAATTCCACTAAACTCTAATTTTTGTAAACCGAGTAAACGTTGCATTCGAAACGGGTGTTTCCAGCCAACTGCGGCCTCTGCTTTAAAAACCTATAACTTCCCAACTAGGGCAAGTAGCAACATGAAAGTGTCGTATTCCGTAGAAGACAATTCGCTCTACAAACGCTAGAATTTGCATGGAAATTTAAGGGAATCCTGATTTTTTCAGCCGAGTAAATGTCGGGCTCCAACTGCTTGTTTCCGGTCAAGTGCGCCCTCTTATTTGAAAATGGATAACTTCCCAATTAGGGCCAGCACCAACTTGAAACTTGCACAATCCGTATAAAACGGAATCACCCAAAAAACGCCGAAAAATTAACGAACATTACATGAAAGCCTGATTTTTGACAACTGACTAATTGTTGGCTTCAAAATGGTTGATTTCACCTCACTGCGCCTTCCGCTTCAAAAGTCCGTAGCTTCCCAACTGGGGCGAGTAGCAACTTGAACCTTTTACAATATTTAGAAGACAGTCGGCTTTACAAATGCTCGAAATTTCACGAAACTTCCACTGAACCCTGATTTTTTCCAACCGAGTCAACGTTGGGCTCGACATGGGTGTTTCCAGCCAACTGCGCCTTCTGCTTTAAAAACCCATAACTTCCCAACTAGGGCAAGAAGCAACTTGAAAGTGTCATATTCCGTAGAAGACAATTCACCCTACACACGCTAGAATATTTATGGAAATTTAATGGAATCCTGATTTAGACAGCCGAGTAAATATTGGTCTCAAAATGGTTGATTTCAGCTAACTCCGCCTTCGGCTTCAAAAAGATGTAGCTTCTGAAATAAAAAAAAGTAGCAACTTGAAATTTCGAGAATCTTTAGAAGAAGGCCACTTTACAAATTCTGAAAATTTCATGAAAATTGCATAGATTCCTGATTTTTGCAACCGAGTTAATGTTAGTCTCAAAATGGTTGATTTCAGCTCACTTCGCCTACTGTTTCAAAAATCCGTAGCTTCTCAACTAGGAAAAGTAGCCACTTTAAATTTCCAGAATCTTTGGAAGACGGTCCACTACAAATGCTGAAAATTTCACAAAAATTCCACTGAACTCTGATTTTTGCCAACAGAGTAAACATTGGGCTCGAAATGGGTGTTTCCAGCGAACTGCGACGTCTCTTTTAAAGAACCATAAGTTCCCAACTAGGGCAAGTACTTAGCAACTTGAAAGTGTCATATTCCGTAGAAGACAATTCGCTCTACAAACTCTAGAAGTTGCAGAGAAATTTAACGGAATCCTGATTTTTCCGGCCGAGTAAATGTCGGGCTCGAACTGGTTGTTTCCAGTCAAGTGCGCCCTTATCTTTCAAAATGGATAACTTCCCAATTAGGACAAGCAGCAACTTTAAACTTACACAATCCGTATAAAACGGAAGCATCCAGAAAAACCCTGAAAATTTAACAAAATTTCCATAACATTCTGATTTTTTCCAACCGAGTATATGTTAGTCTCAAACTGGTAGATTCAGTTCACTGCGCCTACTGCGTCAGAAATCGGTAGCTTCCCAACCGGGGCCAGAAGCAACTTGAAAGTTACACAATATTTACAAGACAGTTTACTTTACAAATGTTGAAAATTTCACAAAAATTTAAATAATTGAATTTCTGCAAAAAAAAGGAACAAGAAAAACAAGAAAGAAATCAATTGTGTGAAGCTAAGAACTGGCTACAGAAGGAAAGAACACCACTACGACGGCTAACGAAGAGAAATGCGGAAAAACTTTGAGAGCAACTCAGAGAGCGATGGGACGCGCTCTGCTGGGGACCAGCTTGCCATAACATAAGAACTGAGGACACCAGAGGAAGAAGAGAGATAAGGGATGTTGTGAAAAACTAAAAGGGCATTGGCCAGAACATGTAGCAAGGCAAGAGCCAACAAGGTGGGCTAACAAGATAACACAGTGGCGCCCGGGAACTATTTATATATATACTATATACTATAACAGAAACCCTGGAAGGCCCCCAAAAATATGGCAAGATCACATCCAAAAGATAACTGGGAGAAAATGGGCGCAGAGCGCACGGAACAGACAAACATGGAGACAATTGCAGGGCCTACATTCAGGAGTGGATGTGGATGAGGTCGTGGTACCAGTTTTATCAGAGCTTGCAAGAAGCTTCTTTTTTTCTAATTTTCTCAATTTGGTGTAGTTTTAAAAGCAAAAGTCTAATTTGACAAAAAATTTGTTAATGATAAAAATGACCGCAATTTACTAAGAGGTATAATCTTTTTCCAAAAAAAATTGTTAAATTTTTCATTGTTTGACTTTTTTCCATTTTTGGTAAAGTTTTTACTGAAGAACCAATTAATTTAATTGAAATTTCTAATTGAAACCCGTTTGATCTATTGTTTAAGTCGCTATCCCCATATTCTCATGTCTGTCCTGGATATTGAGGAATGAGCATTAGGTGTAAAAGTGGCAAAATCACACCAATTTTAAACTTTTGAAACTTTACAAATTAATAAAAATGATCCCATAATTTTGAATTAAACCAAACTCGCCACGAAACTGAAGGTTCCTTTATCTATCAAACTGGCCATTTCAATATATAGGTATCCCAAAAAATCGGAATAAGCATTAGAGGATAGCAACCCAAAAATAAAATTATCCAAAAATTTGAACTTCCCAAATTGATTTCATACAATTTACCAGTCGGAATGCTACCAAATTAACAACAGATCTCAGTCGAAGGTCCTTTTATCTTTTGCCAAAGTCTCTAGCATTAGCGAATAAAAGTGAAAAAGTTAGCATTTGCAGTACTTACTTTAACAATTTAATAAAAAATTCAACTATCATTCTGAATGAATCCTAATTTGCAACAAATCACAACTGAATGTTCTTTTATCTAGGGCTGAAACCCCATTTCAATAAATGTCCTAACCATTGCGAAACTTTGCAAATTTAATAAACATTAAAACTCTCTAAGTTCACTCAAATCATACGGGTTTCAAAATTTAATACAAATTAAACTGCTTGTGTGAATGAAACCAAATTTACGCGAAACAGCAATGGATGCTTCCTGTGGACATTGTTAAAATTTGCAACATAATATGTGTCCTCAATATTGAGTAATGGGAATTGGAGGGTGACAGTGCACGTAGTGATGAGCAAAGCAAGACCAAGACTTGCATGGTCTTGTTGTTGCATACATAGAGTTGGTCTTGCGGCAAGACTCTTGCGAGTCTTACTTTTATACAGTGTGTCCCGTAAGCACATGATCAAAAGGGTACTGGGATATTCTTTGGGTCAAAAGAAGACAATCTGATCTAACTTTTATTAACAGAAAATGTCTGGCTCTTCTGCTATTGACGGTCAAAGTTCTTCAAAAAAACTATCGTTTTTGAAATATTGGGAGAATAGTACGATGTATTTTGGTGAAACTCGCTGTGAATTTGTTCTTATGTAAGACTCATATTTTGATGAAACAATCGAGTTCAGCCGTTTTGGACAAGTG